GGTGGAGAGTCCAAGGTGATGTTGGGCAACTGGTAAAATTTATCGACCATCAACGATAGGCTGAGCCTTTCGCTGATCGTTTATACAAGAGCGATTTATTTATTTATTTGCCCATGAGTAACTTTGCTAATAATATTGGTTAAAGTTAAGAGAAGCAGTCAAGGGAAAAAATAATAGGGCTGTTTTAACGGCACCGTCTTCCAGCTATGAGCAAATGCACCCTCCTCAGAGTGTGCCCAAATGCAGCAATTCATTTACTCAAACTCATAACAGAAAGAAAGAAAGGCTATGTTCAGAAAAAAAAAACACATTTTATTTAATTAAAAACCCTACAATGGTTGGAAGGAAAACAAAGAGAAACTGGCTTTGTTTTGCCACTATAACTTTGTTTACACATTCCAGTGTTTATCTGTCATACACGCTCGACCAAACAACAAATACAAAATTAAACAAAAAGTATGTTAAAAATCAAAATGTCTCTTCCGGTGAACATAACTTTAAGTCTTTTGTTTGATTTGGCGCATCTCAAATGAAAAGATAAATGAATAGTCCAAAAAGTAGAAAAGAAAGGTAAGGAAGGTAAAATATTCCCTCTAAACAAAATGTATAAATTCTAAATGTACAAATCACTCCATGCACAAATATATTGCTCTCCCCATCAAAAAGTCTGCCCCTGCGCAAATATATCATCTATCATCGGTTATTGGTCCTACCTTAGTCCCAGGTATTAAAACCCTAGAGCGGGGTTGTCCCTTAGAAGGGTCGTTAATGAGGCATTTACCATGGGAAGGATCTCAGAATGCATTGTAGATAGCAGACGGTGTAATAAGCCATCCTCTCTGTTCAAAGATGGTCATTCACAGTGAACATAGATGGCCTCGTTTACTCCTTTCAAATATCTGTCTTCTCACTCAAAAATGTGATCGTTGGCATCCTCAAAAGATTGACCCCCACAAAAGTTCTTCCTGTGTAGATTTTGCAGGTTCACATTGTGCATTTGTGGCTTCTCTCTGGATACTCCCACTTCCTCCTACAAGCCAAAGACATGTGTGTATGTGTTTTAAAACACCTTTAACCTCTTCTGGTTGCTAGGAGACATGGACAGTAGTCAATGGTGGGATCATGGTTCCTGGCATGGCGAGCCTGCTCCCATGTCTATGGTGAGTTGACGCCCTGCCTTGTCAGTAATCCATCAAACAAACCCTGTTCTGAATGCGGAACTGTTGTTGGTTGCTGTTATTGCTAAGTAACCATGTGTTTCCCATTGTGAATCATCAGCAGCCAGTCACATGGCAACCCTCCAAGGATGGAGAGCGTCTGATTGGTCGAATTCTACTGAACAAGAGGATGAAGGACGGAATTGTTCCTGCAGATACAGGAGCACTGCTGGGACTCAAGGTGGCCTTCTTCTGCTTTGTTCTACTGCCTTTTCTTTTTACTATTTCTTTCGCTATTCTTCTCTTCTCTTCCTTCTCCTCTTTTGATAATACAGTTTGGTGCTGTGTGTTTTTCAGGTTGTCGGTGGAAAGATGACAGAGTCTGGTCGTCTCTGTGCTTTCATCACTAAGGTGAAGAAAGGTAGTCTGGCTGACACTGTGGGTCACCTGAGACCAGGTAAACACACTGATTTTCCCGATAGGTCTTAGTTACTTTGTTCACTGAGTCAGATGTTGCTAAAACTGAATTAGATGGACTCTACAATGATATCTTTTCTTCTTTTCTGCTTTAGGAGATCAGGTTCTGGAGTGGAATGGTCGGGTTCTTCAAGGAGCCACATTTAATGAGGTCTACAACATCATCCTGGACTCCAAACAAGAACCACAGGTGGAGCTGGTGGTGTGTCGACCAATAGGGTGGGTCTCTGATCAAGCTGAGAGGCAGAAAATATTTCTGAGGTTGTTCTCTTCTCTTAGGACATCATAGTAACAGATTGTTGCTGATTCTATGTTCTTCAGAGATGTTTCCAGATCAGTAGAGAGTGCCCATGTCCAGCTGAACTCCAGTGAGTCTATAAAAAAACAAAAACTACATCTGTCCTGTTCATTAAGAACTTCCATAGATCTGATAGTGGACAAAGTTCCTGCTGACTCAGAATTGGTCTATTTAATGTTCAGGTTCCAGTTCCTTTGACTCTCAGAAAGTTGGCCCATCCATCTCTGTCACATCTCCAATGAGCCCCAGTGTTCTGTCTGGACAGGTCTCGGTAAGTTTACCCAGCATGCACTGCATCGTAAGACAGCCACTCAGCAGTCAGTTAAAAATGCATTTCCATGGTGATGTGTGTTTTCAGACAGTGGACAGGCAACCTCTGGTTCCCCGGATTCAGGTAATAGTTGAAAAGGATGGCGTGTGCATGTTCATCTTTATTTACTCTGTAGTGTAGTCTTTTAGGCTGTAGATAAATGTATCACAGAAAAAGCAGAACAAAGTACTCCAAGTTTCTGCTTTTAGTGGTTCTGAGGGTATCCATTGTTGTTCTAAATGATTCAGCTTATGTGGCTAGAAACACAAGACAGTTCTAAAATGTGCCTTGTAGTTAAAGTACTTTGAGCGGTCGGTAAGAGTAAAAAAGTGTAATATAAATATGAGAACTGTACAGTATAGTTCTATTAGCACTGTTCTTGTCTGTAGGGTCCTTTGCTCTTCCAAAGAATTTTGCCTCCTTTAGCTGTGTTCCATAACTATTTTTCAATATCTATTCATGCTAAGGCTCCCCTGCAGTTTTGAGATTCTGTTTTGTACCTCTACTTTTTGCTTTGTAAAAACTCTCTAAGGTTCCTTCCAGGGGTCCTGACTCTGTTGCTGCTCCTTGGGGTTCCATTACAGTTATGGGTTGATACAATTTTCTTCATGTCCCCTTTTGGTTATCATCTTACTGGGTTCTCTGTGTTTTCTGTAGCAATCACCTGGTGTTTCACTGGGCTCAGCTGGTAATTGGTTATATTGTCTGTTTGAATTTGTAGGTGCTTTTGTTCTGCTCTGCTAACAAAACTTTTCTGCAGGGTATCTCCTGCTGATGACTGGAACTTCTTTTCTTTGGTCATTTTTTGTTGTTCTCCAGGCTTCTTCTGTATTACTATGGTGTCCTAATGATGATGTTGTGGGTATTCTACAGGTGAAGCTATGGTATGATAAAGTCGGCCACCAACTGATTGTCACCGTTCTTGGAGCCAAAGAACTTCCTGCTCGGGATGACGGCCGACCCCGGAACCCATACGTCAAGATCTATTTCCTGCCAGATAGAAGGTGAAAAAGCAATCAAAGACCAGTATTTTATGGCTCAGAGGTTCCTTGAAAAGTAAAACTGTAGAACTTCTGATATCCTTTAAAACCAGTAGTGGACTATTCTCTGTGATTGGCTGTTAGTTGTACCTTCCTCCTTTAACAGTGATAAGAGTAAGCGGAGGACAAAGACAGTGAAGAAGTCATTGGAACCTCGGTGGAACCAAACCTTCATGTACTCTCCGGTCCATCGACGTGAGTTCAGAGAGCGAATGCTTGAGCTGACAGTCTGGGACCAGGCTCGAGTCCGAGAGGAGGAGAGCCAGTTCTTGGGAGAGGTGAGAACCCACGAACAATACAGAACAATGGAGAGGATATGGGAAAAACTCATTAAACTAAGAACCTTTAACAGTTCAGTTCTGACCTACTCTGCCTTGCCTTGACATCACATCCATCACCTGTTCAGTAGGGATGGGTATTGTTTAGGTTTTATCCGATACCGGTGCCAAACCGGTACTTTTGAAATGGTGCCGGTGCTTAAACAGTACTCAAACCGGTGCTTAAAGAATGGAGAACAGAAACTTTGTCCAAAAACCTCTCATGTTTAGCTGTTTTTAAGTAAAAAGATAACAATGTTAGCCTTTTCTGCAGCTATAAGGTTCAAGGTTCTTTATCTGTCACATGCATAGTTATACAAGTATAACACACAGTGAAATGTAACCTGACACGCTCCTCGACATGTGCAAAAATGGGGGGGTAGAGGAAGAACATTATATATATGGTATATACATTAAGGCATATATGGTATCACTTGGCTGGAAGCAGTGCTCAAACAATGGAAAAAACACAAACTTTGTCCAAAAACCTCTCATGTTTAGCTGTTTTCCACTTTTTCTTTGGTCATTTTAGCCTTTTTGGCCAGGGTGAAGGGAGTATCTGCCATCAAACAAGAAGACAGCCG